ATTTGTTTAAAGCACCGTTCTTGGCACTTAAGCTGTCCTAATTTTTGTCCTTATTTTTTTGAAAACAACCGAAAAGGAATGCAAACGGCATCTGCAATACTCCATTTCAAAGCTGTGCCTACCACCATAACTAACGGAAGGGGAAAAGAGGTTCACAAATTGCGGCGTAAGCACGGAAACGATGCTCCCCTGACAAGACTCTTAGTGAAAACAAATAAATGATGAATATTGGTAGGGATGCTACTGCTAAAAAAGCAAATAATCTCGCCAAGAACTAATTTCATCCTAGCCCTTGATTTTGCATTAACAGCAGGAAGTTAAACGCAGGCTCTGGAAGAAATGCAATCTCATTAGCCTCACCTAAGCAACTACTTAGGCGCCTTGTTTGTATCGCAGTGACCGCCTACCATGATGCGACTACTTTTCAACGCAGAATGCAGCCAGATTTGCCTCCAAACAATAGTACAACCCCACTCAGCACTCTCCAACATCGGCCTGGAGGCATATGAGGACATGGCGCTAACTCCAAACATGTATCGAATTACCAGAGTGCAACCCCGATCGATTATTTGAGGGACTGGCCTCCCCTTTACGGTTCAGCTACCTTCGTGGGACATGCGCCCACGGTAGGTGAGACTTAAACCTGGTCATTATTAACCAATCCGAAGAGACTTCCCGCTCGCCTGAGCTCAAAGAATAATCACACGCACTTAGTCAAAACCGCCATTGGGATTGCCATTCCGATAATCGAAGTGACTGAAAGCAGGCTTCGAAGCATTTCAAGCCAGACAACAAGCGTTGAGGCGAGCTCAAGAAAGTGAAAAAGGAGCGCTGTCCTTCCACCTGATTCCAACATCATCAAGTCTCGGAACGAGTGTTTTACCGGTGGTACTGGGGGCACGCTACAGCCCTTGCAGCAGAAACGTGGGCTACTCGATATTACCATGGCGATTTGACAATTCACGTATAACTAGACAGACAAAAGTTTCCTTCTTAGAACGACTAACAAATGCAGGTGACAAAGGGAAGGTGAGATACATAATTACCAACAAAACAAAGAGCTATCACTTTGATTGCACGATTCAACGTGGAGTGATGCGAATGCGTAGCCGCAGCAGAAATGGATAATGCTTTAGTTGGAAAGCTCCTTTAAGTGCGCCAACCAGGTCGCAGTAGAGAAGTTGGCAGTGGACAGCTCTGACGAACTGCAATATCGTGACATCCTGTTACAAGCCTGGCGACATCACACCCGCCAGAGCCACCACTGCTATCACCTTACGAAGGCATCCAAGGCTTAACACCTAAAGCCACAGCACATTGAAGCGGTGGCTTACACTTTCACCAATTGCTTCGACTACCACCACTAAATGCCCAAATCCATCAATTGCACTCAAACACCCAATTCCCAAAGCCTACTTCTTGCCAAACTACGCAAGACCTTTGCGATTCACCGCACAGACATTCCACTCCACCACCCACTAGACAACACGCATCGAAAGAAGTACGCACACTAATCGTACCATTGAAGGCTTTCACCGAGAGCACACGACCTAGGGGTTGGCATTTAGCCCCACCACTTGCCCGCCCTGACTAAAGGGCCGCGCTCCGCGCATCATCTGCAGCCCTCAATGTCCAAGGCACACCTCACTCTTGACAGCTTCAAGTCCGCTCCTTGTGCATCGCACTTCCCGTCTTTCATACAAGTCGACGACGCTACATTCCCATTCGACAACAAGCGAATCAGACAGCACTGCGATCACACGAATCACCACAGTGAGAACTAAAATAAATAATTATTCCAAAGATCTAGGTTAATTTGGATGTAGAGGGAGAAAGAAAGCAGCACCGGTGTTCAAGAAAATCCAATACCCAACCGTTCAGCAATTTTCAGCTTTGCGGTGCGGACGTTGATGCCTTCCCCACTCAACCATTGACCCTTGTACTTGGCCATCACACGAACGCGTTGACCAGCCACCTGCACATCTTCTCTTTTCCCAGAGGAGGCGACATTGGAGTTATCACTTGCACTGTTCTTTGACAAGCACTCAACCTCACTGCATGGAGGAAAGCATGACATTCCTGTTATCCCTTTGCACTGTCCAAACAACCACAACCACTAACAGATATAAAGAGTCACTTACGAGATTTTCAGGTCCGGATACAACTCATGCATCAGTCGTACTGGGTCCATTGGCAACTCCTTGTCGTAGACCTCTAGGCAATCAAACATACGCTCAACAAAATCATCATCATGTGTCACTCATTTGCGGCAGTCCATTAGGTACCATCACACTAAAAATCAACAGTTCCATCCCACTCAAGTTCCGCGTAAAGTAAAACCATAGAAGAAAAGCAATACCCAGACCTCATGCCTCTTCACCAAGTCCTACACCTCACTTCAGCCAAGTGCGATTGCACTAAAGCTTGGTCCACGTTCCAACCGCACACAGAGAAGAAAGAGGAGCAACTCCAAGACATACCGATTTCACGTCCCAGCAGCCGATA